CCGTAGTCAATCCTATTTCCGATAGGAGTAGTTGACAATTGAATCCAACTTTTTCCATTATTTTCATTTCATACCCGTATACCCGTATATAGTGCGAAAGGAAAGCCCGGCTCCAATCCAAGTTGTTCAAGAATAGTGGCCTTGAGTTTCTCGACCCTTTGACTTAGGATTAGTCAGTTCTATTTCTTGATGGGGGAAGGGATATAACTCAGCGGTAGAGTGTCACCTTGACGTGGTGGAAGTCATCAGTTCGAGCCTGATTATCCCTAAACCCAATGAATGTGAGTTTTTCTATTTTGACTTGCTCCCTCGCTGTGATCGAATAAGAATGGATAAGAGGCTCGTGGGATTGACGTGAGGGGGTAGGGGTAGCTATATTTCTGGGAGCGAACTCCATGCGAATATGAAGCGCATGGATACAAGTTATGACTTGGAATGAAAGACAATTCCGAATCTGTATTGCCAATGAATCTCAATGACCAAAATTGGGTAATTAACACGGTAAGGAACTATCGAACATATGAAATACCACCGAAATCCTTTTTTATAAAAAAATCTGCATTCAATTAATTTCAAATAAGTCGTATTTTGCTTAGACCAATAAATAGAACTGAGGTTATAGTTAAAGCTGCTAGTAGAAAACCGAAATAACTAGTTATAGTAGGCATGAAGGGACTCAATAAAATATGTTTTTTATACATATGTTTCTAAAGTACTTCCCTAAGTTTCAATTGAAATTTTTTTTTAAGAAATAGAGAAAGATAACTAGTTCCAAGAATTAAAAAAATTCAATTGAAAATTTGTGAATTATCAATCATTATAGGTGGTATGAACAAAAATAGAGAAAGATAAAAAGAACTCAATTCATCGTCTTTGGCATCTGCACTATCTCAGGAGTCAGAATTCACGTAACTAATTAATTGAAAAACTCTTTAAGAAATTAAAAAAAAAAAAAAATAATACATAAAAAAAATAACTCTATTATCTAACTTCAGCCAAAACATATAACTTTTTTTGAATTAATATGTAAAAATTTGAAAATAAGTTGTTTGATTCTTTTTTTTTTTTTTAATTGACCTTAGAACCTAGAATACGCCCCTTTCTACTTTTTTTAAATTGAATTTACTTAAATTTGAACTCATTAGATTAAATAGTAGAGCAGTTTTCTTCATTTAATATATATATATATATCATTTTTAATGAATTATATATATTTTCAGAACATGTTATTTTAAAAAACCTTATCATTTTCAGCATTTATTTGAGTATTTATCTAATTATGTATTATAAATAATTATCTCTTATTATTAACTTAAAATGATTTGAAAAAGAAAATAGTTTTGCTAAAAATATATGTAGAGTATGTTCTTATATTAAAGTTTTTTAGATTATATTTATTTAAAACTATTTTTTATATGACTTGCACTTAGTAAAAACATTTTTGGGTCCACCATTATACAATAAAAATATTAGGCCTGGGCGTTTAATCCGAAACCGAAAATCCAAACCGGATCCGAACCGAAAAATCGGATTAAAACCCGAACCGCATCCGAGAGAATAACCGATCGGTTATCGATTTTTATATCCATCGAATATCGGATAATATCCGATCCGATCGATATTCGATGGGTATCCGAAAACATCCGAACTCTTCTCTAGAACCTTAGTCCCTAGCAATACGAGATCAACTTCCCTTATTTCGATTTCCCCAGTAATATGGGATCCACTTCCCTAATCTTGATTTTCCTACTTCTTTAATCTTTAGGATGTTATGGTTTACCTTCGTTTTATAACTTTGATGTATTGGCATGGTTTTATGTCTCACTTTGGTTTCAAAACTATATGGTTTGCTATGGTTTTATGTTTGTTCAACTAGTCACTTCAGTTTTGTTTTGCGGTTTTCGAATTGTTCGGATTATTTTTAGATTTTTTGGTTAAATCGGATATTGAATATCATATCCATACCGATCCGAAACCCGAAATATCCAAAACGAAACTGATCCGAATTCTATAATTATCCGTATGGATATTAGAATCTATATAAAAAAAACGAAATCTGGGAAAACCGATCCGAATCCGATCCGATAACCGAACGTCCAGGCCTAAAAAATATAATGTTTTAAGTTCATGGAGACGAGAAAAGATCAGGTAGTCGAGCTCTTAGACTACAAGAATCGTTTGCAATGAGCTCAAAGAATACGAGAAATGTTCTTAAGTAAAAGTTTTTTAAAAAAAAAAAAAATCAATGTTTTTAATTCTATATACATGCAGTCAAATGTATGTTTTGGAAAGTTCTCTTATACTAGTCCCACCGGCCAATTCAGTCCTGATCTCCAAAGCATTGACAAAACCACAAGATAAACTTGAAAGATATATATTATTTTTTTGTCCAAAGCTAACTTGAAAGTTATTTATATGTTCAAAGAAAATTTCAATGTAAATTTTAGTTTGTTAAACATTATTTTATACACTATCCCGTTGGTAAACTTTTTTTTTTTTTTACAATGTAATATGCCATTTTAGAAATATATTATATGCTATTTTGGAGTCAACAGGAAGTACAATATTTGAAGAATGAATTTAAGTAGTTACATGTAAATATTTTTTCATTAGCTTACACTTACAGTGTACAGACATGGCTCATTATATCTGGCAATCTAAATATTACCAAAAAAAAAAAATTTGCTGCGAATTGGCCCTAACTACAACATCTGTTCAAAGACAGAAGACAACATCAAAATGTAGTTACAAGCCCTATGCCTACCTCTTCTGCGAGTTCGTCCCATACAGGCAGGAGCGTCAAAATCACCAGGATTATTGCAGTCCCGACAAGGGCTTTCCTCCATGTTCCAACCTCGGTCACGTCGTTTAGACACGGTTTTTCAGGTGTCCTCTGTTCAAAACATAGTACGTACTGCTTAGAAACAGCTTTTATAGCTGACTCTTATAGTTGAAGTTACCGAGTTATGAAATTCTGGGTACCTGGCAGATTAGTAGATAGAGTCCCCAAGGAAGTGCCAGAGGACCGCCGAGCTGATAAGAAAATGCCAGAGCAATCAATAAACAGGTTTGAGTCTTTGAGAGCACAACGCAAAGGGGATGGTTCAAAAAAAACAAACAGGTTGAACATACCACTCTGAGTCCAAGCATTACATAGGTTGACAAACCAAATGTAACCAATGCATTTTTCCCGAATGCGCCCTGCACAAGATTCATGCCGATTGACAATGTCAACAATTTGACCTCTTATATGAATATCTCAGACCCTTTCTGGTTCATACTTCATCTAAACTACACTACTTTTCAGGATATATAACACTTTACACTTGAATCAACTGTAGTATTTTCCTTGATAAGAGTTGGGATTTTTCTCAGACTTTGTAACCAAAATTTCCTTGATACGAGTCGGGATTGTTTTAATGACAAGACAGACTTGGAAGAAGCATTTTTCTTGATATTAGTCGGGATTGGTTTGAGACTTTGTAACAAAAAAAACTTCACTAAGCAACATAAGGTTTCTAATTTTTGAATAGAGTATGCACCATTTCTTATATAAGAGAAGTACCTGTACAGCTCTTCCTCCATCCAAACATCCAACCGGAAGCATATTAAATGCTGTTGTTGTTAAACCACACCTAACAATCAAATTTCAAAGTAAGACAAAATTGTCAAAATTGTCAAAATTGCTGATGATTGATAGAAGCATAAGCCAAGGCATAAGACGCTACCATCCAGCAATTACAAGCGGGTGGATTGAAACTGTCGCAGCATGCAAAGCTCTGTAATCAATAGGAAAATAGAAATGGACATTGGAGTTAGATTTTTTCGTTTAGGGTGAACAGTCGCTAGCTGTGGAGAGCTTACGCATATCCCAGAGTTGCTCTGCTGATGAGTCCAAGAAGTAATGAACCTTGAAATAACATGCTGGGAACCTGGACCAGGTCGTTAGCTGCATCCGGTGCTGTAGATAGGAACAGACCAACAGCAAACATGGATACTGAGAGTGCAGCTCCAGCAAATGGACCAGCTAGCGAAATGTCAACTTTTGTACTCCGGTCGGGAAGAATCGACTTAAACTGTACAAATCAAGTAAAAGGATTACTAACGCTACTACATTAGTCAATAGTGTTGTCTTCGAAACACTTCAAAATGTTCAGCTGGTCACAGAGGAAAGCAGATGAATGCATTGAAAAAGAGAAGTAGAAGGATACATAGAGTTCATCCCCTAAACTTAAAAGACATGATTAGGAATATTACCTGTGTGATTGCCCCAAAGCTGCCGAGTGTAATATTTGGAATGAAGTAAGGAATGCTAAGCTTAACTTTCTTTGGAACTGCAGCCAGAAAGTGCCCTAATTCCTGTAAAAAAAACAAGTCATAGGTATAATAACTCTCTAAACGAAGTACTGAAAGTTTGTAATTCCACCAAGGAACATGTCTGCTTGATATGAATTTCAAAGCAACATCACCGAACATTTATAATAAAAAAAAAAAACAATACGGTAGCAACTCACAAGTTTAAACTTACATGAAACAAAAGTATTCCCAATACACCATATGCCAAAGGCAAAGCAGCGTCTACAAATGGATACAGGAGCTCCATATCAGGTGGTTCAACAGCATTTGGATCGGTGAAATACTTTACCACCTCAGGAGGTAAGCGGTTAATCTGTTGAATCAAGTAATTTCCATTATTGCATTTAAGAATAACAGATCAATGACATAATGATGTAGTGCTTCTGGGAAAACGAGTACCTGAGAAGCAATTCCTAGCTCCACAGAGGAACCAATTGTCAAGAGAAACAGTATTAAAGCAATTACATACTGCCAGAGTGTGGTTGGTCCTGGCTCCGAGACTTCTTTACGAAGCAAACCAAAGCTAACACGAGCACCACCACGAGGATCTGGTCCTTCAGAGTTAGGCTCCTCAATCATAAATAAATTATATTTATCGCCAGCAACTTCAACTAGTTTTCTCTGAAGTTTTGCAAAAACATCTTCCTTCTTTCCTCTCAAGTTCCCAAGAAAGAGTATTCCCTCTCCAAGGTCCCCAAATGGCTCTTCTTTCGTCACCCAAAATGTCGAATAACCGAAAAGCTTGTCCTTTATTAACTTGACATCAGCAGGATCTACTTTCTCAGGTCCAAGAAGCTCCATCAACTTAAACGAATCTATTTGGAAGCTGCTGTACGTTGGATCAACAGACGAATCACTTGATGGCTGAGACAAAAAAAAAAACCAAACTTGTACTCTTACTAACACAATGTTTAAGAGATTGATTCTAACAACCTACGAAATCAACCAATTTCATGGCTTTAAATCCTAGTTTTAGATCTTTATTTCGCATGAAATGTGTAACAGTCCCTTCCTTGAACTCAATTTTCCATTAAAAAGATT